ATATAAAATCCAATCATCTTCCTATGGCTATGATGATGAAAAGTCACTGGAAGTTGTGGAAAGGAATCAGGATATTTTTGGCTGCAGTGAAATGGGCAGCTAAACTGTGTCAGATTTTCTTGAAATGACTTTGTTTCATTTTGGTTTAATGGTTGTTTGCTTTTCTGTACACGTCTTTCAGTGATAATTCTTGGCATAAATCTTCTAGTTACCTCATGTACATACAATAATTTATGTTCACAAAGCCTTTGAGAGGAAGGTTGCATTATTTCTACTATGTATTTGGCTTACAAAACCAGAAAGCAACCTTCCCTTTATTTTAGATCATGCCAAAAGTGATTTAGTCAAAACCACAAAGAACAGCTATAGAAGAACCCGCTTTACCTGCATTTTAGCTGCTATATCAATTTGCCTTTATTCTGATGGTGAACGGTAGACACAGGAGACAATTATTTATTTATTAGAAAGAAAAAAAAGAGCCTTAAAATGGCACAAATGTGAACTGAAAAGTGAAATGGATTTTATCTGCCTCACAAGGGAGGGAGAAATTGGTCTGGAGATTCATTGCAGAGAAATGAGTGAGTTATTTTGCTGACTGTCAGTGGTAGGTAACAATGTAATTCAATAAGTGAAGGCCAGGTTTGAATAGATAGAAGATTAATCTTCAGCCACTATCTCCTGCGGGATTTTTCTGTGCCAGTATTGATTGCATTTCGGCTCCTGACTTGAGAGAGAAATTGGTTGGAGTTGGATTTTAATTATATTCACATGGTGGATTACTTTCCTTCAAAATATGTTTTGCTACTTTCCTGAAAACAAAGCTTAACTGGGTATTAAAACTCTACCAACCGATGCCACAATCTGTCAGGTTTTTTATAATAATACCGGGCTAAAATAATTATTAAAATCAACAGACGTCTTTTTAATGTTTCCTCTTTTTTTTTTTTTTTTTTTAATTTAGATGTAGGTTACTTGAAATTCATAAATTTGACAAATGAAAGCTAAATAATTTTTACTTTAAATAGAAGGATCCACTACAAACATTGGATGTGTAAGGTCTGGCGCAGTATTAGTCTTGCTGGTCTGGGGGTAGTAGCCCAAGTGAATGCAAAACTAATTTGCCTGTAATGCTTCTGATATTTGCCTGTTGCACGCAGAACTAGTTCAAACACCTTTAGATTTAATAGTAAAGGAACCTATAGAAATTTGACAGGATTTTGTTATTTGGTTTCAGGGGTTTTGGGAGTAGATAGATGCATTGTTTCAATATTGGAGTTGCACATCACAAAATACTCCCAGGAAAAAACAACAGGGATGTAAAAGCTTCTTTGTTACTTCATGTAGTTCTAGTAGATGCACTGCACTTCCTCAGTTAAATTGAGAAGAGTTTTTAGATTCATGTTCTTGTTTTGATGTCATTGAATATTGGCAGGAGGAATAATGGACTGGATCTTTATCACAGTCATTTCTGGGGGGAGCCTGGGTGTGTGTGCTGTTAGAAATGTGGGAAGTAGACTTTGTTTGAAAGTTTTTAAGGCATTCAGGTGGATTATTTAAACCCTTTCAGTTTCAACAAAGTTTAATCCAATTTTGTCAGCAGATTTGAATCTTCTTCCGTATCACATGAGTGATGGGAGAGGATGAAAACTAGTATCCATTATTTGGAATGAAATTGAAATATCAAGCAGAAGAAACATGGTCCTTTTCTGTGCAGATGCTTCAAGAATTTCAATTTAAAAATCTAAATATACCATAGTATGAAAACTTCTGTAACAGACCACCTAGGATGGACCTCATGATTTATTCTTTTACCATTCCTCCCCCTTTTAACTTTCTCTTTTACCATCCACCCTTCCTCTCAGATATTTATTGTGGAAAATTAGTTGGAAGAAATCTTTTGACACCCACTCATTCTGGTGTTTTATAGTAATAATAGGTCTTGATGGTCCCAATCTGAAGTGTTCTGTGAAAGCATTGAGAGTTTGTAGTCATTGGTACTAATTTCAGAAATAAATGTGAGTTTGTTTTTTTTTTTTAAATCAAATTACTTTCAGACAGGAGAGAAATCTTCTCACATGAATGTTTGATTGTTGAGATTGAATTTGCAGAATTAGACAAACTCATTACTCTGAGCAGCATGAAGCCAAAAGATAACTTGTGAATATAACTCCAGAATTTGCTTAATTTATAACATTCCAGTTCTGGGGGGAAAAAAATCTTGTGTGATAACATAGTTTTTTTGTGGGAATTTTTTCTTCTACATGAAAATTGAACCAAATTATATTGTCTGAACCTATCACAATGCTGTGTCATTTCAGATCATAGAATGCATAAACTGCTACTGATCCTGGATTGTTTGCACACTTCAAATTAAGTTGTAATTGTTTGTGGTGGTTTGACCTAGGCTGGCTGCCAGGTGCCCACCAAGCTACTCTATCACTCTCTCTTCTATCACTCCCCCTCCCCAGCAGGACAGATGGGAGAAAATAAGATGACAAAAGACTCATGGGTTGAGATAAAGGCAGTTTAATAATGAGAAGCAAAGGCCACTCATGAAAGCAAAGGAAAATAAAAGGATTTATTAGGATTTATTTTCTACTTCCCATCAGCAGGTGGTGTCCAACCATTTCTTGGGAAGTATGGCCTCAGTACACATAGTGGTTGCTCCAGAATACAAATACCTTAATAATGAATGCCTCTCTCCCCTCCTCCCTTCTCTTAACTTACATTGCTGTGCACGACATCGTATGGTATGGATTATCACCTTGGGTCAGCTGCCCTGGCTACGTCCCCTCCCAGCCAGCTAGCCTTTTGGGGGGGAGCGGGTTTGGAGTGATACCCTTGATGCTGTGCAAGCACTGCTCAGCATTAGCCATAACACTGGTGTGATACAGAGCACAGCACTATGAGGGCTTCTATGGAGAAAATTATTTCAAAACATTTCAGGCTGCTTTGTACAAGTATTTCTGCTTTTCTAATCCACATTCCAAAACTAAAATATTACTGGCTTAGAAGAATCTACATGCAAAAGTATGATATTCAGAAGTCCCCTACCAGCCTCAGAGTATTACAGAGGTCGTTGTGTCCACCAGAACTAATAGTGAAAATAATACCACACACGTGAAAGTAAAATGCAACATGTGGTCTTAGGTGTTATAAGGAGAATAATGTTTTTAGGTAATTCACACATTTTTATCAATTTAGATTATTTAATGATGTGACATACCTGGACTTTACCTGGTAATAGATTTGCTCAAAGAAAAAACATCATCCCTTTGAGTATTAAGAATTATGCTTTCCCTTCTGTCTCATCCAGCAGTGGTGTTAAGATCTAAGTAACAAGTTCAACTTCATAGCATAAGATATAGGAGCTGTGTAGCATAAGTAGTCAAAATTAGCATCCACCTTCTTTTCTTCCAGAAATTTAATAAATTTGTATTGTGAGATCCATCTCACCTAATTCTAGGTGTCTGTGTTGCAGAGTTCTACATCTAGGCTACTTGCCCTAGGGCTATGTTTATAGTCAATGGAAGGTCAGAGGCACTTCGAAGGCATGATTCATGTAATGAGAAAATAGGTGTCTAATTAAGATGAGATGAATTGCACTCTGAAAATGCCCGTTGCTCTTCATTGACTATGAAGGCACCCTGGGGTGATGAGCTCAGCACTGCTATATTGCTGAAATCATTGGATGTCACTGGTTAGATGAGTTCTGCCCTTTGTGTTTCCAAAGGAAACCACCTCCTTGAAACCCATCTGAGACTGCTGCTTACTGCAGGCTACATTTGAACCATTGAACCATTTGAACTACATTTGTTGTTAATTGTCTGTAACCCTGTGATGAAGCAGATGAGGAAACGTTAATTAGATTATGTTGTGGGCAAGTTAAAATTTAGCTGTCTATACTTCGATAGGGGGTAATAGATATGGTGGTAGTGTAGAAATACTCAGCACGCACATGCCTGACTGACCAGACTGGTGCTTCTGTGTTAGCACTATTTTACAAGCATATCACATTTTCAAAAACTGATGACTCTTTAGTATTAAAAATGTCCTTATAATTGCCTACAATTGCTGACCTGAGTAATCATTTGGTGTCGTAGTTGATTCATTATTGATTTAAGTGGCAAACTACTCATGCCATAGGGCCTCCTATTCCAGCTGCAGCTGGGCCACGTGAAGACACTGCCACCTCTCCTTTGGTCTTTGCTACCTTCTTGGTTTCCACACTTCATGTAATTTTTGTAGCTGAGTTTAGAAAAGTCTGTCCTTTTCAATTTTTTTAAAATCTAGTCAAAATAACTGAGTGAATCGGAAGGAATTAACAAGTCGGTATGCAGACAGGTGAGAGAGGATGGGAACCTAAGGCAGGCAGATGGTGGTGAGCACCTCTGTGATTGGGAACCTTTCCACCCAGGCAGCTGTAACCAGGAGAGGACATGAGATTTAATCAAGACTTTTTAAAATAAACCAATGAACAAAACCTGTTTCAATCACAAGTTCTAAGAAGGTTTAATATCCTTTCTTTGTCTGGATGTGCATCACTGTTTCTGAAAAATCTATTTATGAAATGTGTATTAGTGGTGTCATTGTAAGATTTAGTATTTACTATATAATCTACAGAAGGAAAAAATGAGATATACAGTATTTATATTTAAGATTCAGTACAAATTATTGCATGTAATAAAAGGTAATGTATTTGTCTTGCATTATGGGTATAAAAATTCCATGCACTTATGAAATTTAGGTGTGTAAGGTGTTAGGCTGGTATTTTTCTTTTGTAGCTCTTCATTTCACTGAGTTACTGGATAACTCATAATTAAAATAAAGTCTACATTAATATTTCTGGACCTGAAGTAAGTATATTTATACAGAAATACAAAATGTGAGCTATGAAAGAAAGGCTGTGAGTCTTTTATGTAAAAAGAGGCAAATGTGAATGGAATTGTTTTTAGCATACTTTGTAAAATTTTGCTCTTTATATGTCTTCTTTTAAAAAGCCTGAAAAGAATGATACTGAATCTGGCAGCCAGAGAATCAGACCAGTATTTGAAGATGATCCTGTTTTCCGACGACAAACGTCTTACCAACATGCAGCAGTCCACATACCAACAGATATTTATGAAGGCTGTAAGTAGCATGTTGAAAAAATTATCTTATTTTCATACTACGCTTATTATTTGTGTCCTATTCTTAAAACCAACGAACATGCAAACAAAATTTTCATCCCCATTTTTACTACACATTTGCTGTTATTGTCTCTTTTCCTTCTTTCAATAGTATTTCAGACATGTGCTCTATTAGGCCTATGATTCATCTTAGCAATTAGTAGGAGCCATAGTTAAAGAGATCCATTAGATCTGAGTTTCAGAAATGGAACTGGAGGTGAAACAAAACTCTTACATATTCTAATTTTATTATCCATTCTTTCTCTATGCTGTGTTCTAATTTAACACAAACAATTCTTGACAACTCTTCTTTGCATGGTTTTGGCCTCAGGCAGAGATGGTTACTGAAAACATTTTTCAGTATCCTGAAAGCATACCACAGTTCAGGCAAATAACATGCTGTGTGAGATGGTAGTACTTACATTGCATGCAGTGCATTTCCAGAATAGCACTAACAGCCTTTAGCAGACAATTTGAATAAATTCTTTCTAAACTATGTAAAAAGTAATATATATATATATATATATATATATCCATATAGTGAGGATTTTTTAAATGTATTTCAATATTAAGTATTTTTCTTTGAAGATGAAAGTAACTTCCTTTTTCTGTACTCATCAAGAAATCATTATCCAACAAAAAGACATTTCAACATTCAAAATGACTGCATATTTTTAAAAAGGGAAAGAAAAATTAAACAGGATCTGTATTTTTAAGTTATGGTGTTGTTTTGTGTTTGTCTGGTTTTTTGTTTGGGTTTTTTTTTTTTTAATTTATTTTTTTAAATTTAAGGTCCTATTTTCAAGTATGCAGTCTTTCTCTTTCAAAATCTCATCTAGAGGAAAGAGACCCTAATGTGACCCGAGCTCTTTAAAATTCATGGCCACAGTTGTGTGCAGCTTATACAAATGACACAGGGATGAAAATGGAAATGTCAGTATGATGGAGGAAGGAGTCACAGTAGCTTGTATTCTTATACGGTGTGATGGTGTGCTTGACTGGCAGACCTAGAGGATTATTCTGGGATTCTGGCTTTAATAAGTGGTAAAGTGCACCTTAATTGCAGGATTACGGGGAAGAGACAGGCCATTTCCTTTGCTTTTGTTTGGAAAGAAGTGATACTTCACTGTCAAAATGTTATAAAAACTTTCCTCCAATCATTAGGGTATTTGTAAACACCATGTGAAAATTGCTGTAAGATTGTCATCATATGTATGTAAAATGTTTTGTTGTGCTGAATTTAACATTTCAGATAATATTACCTAAAAATCTATGCTAGGTAATGTTACTGTACAGCCTGTTATCCTAAAAAGGAAGCAGGCTACAAATTCCATAGGAAAGATAAAACTTTTCTTTGTTTCTAATAAAATCATAATAACAGACAGAAATGTAAATTTTTTTAGAATGGTAACTGCATGTGCAACTTATATGGTTTGTGAGAAATTCCTGATTCTTTGGGTCTGGCTATCATATTAATTACCAGAGATGTGGAAGCCTTGAAAATTATCAGGAAGACTGTAATTCTGCATCAGCAAAATTATTTGCTTGGGTAGCTGGGTAACTTCTGGTTATAGATGATATTTCAGAGATAACACCTTGAGAACCCCTAAAAATCACAGATTTCGTATCAGTGAACACAAAATCATCAACAGGTTTTATTTCACAGTAGCGAAGTTCATGTGTCATCTGAAATGCAGTGAACAACTGGAATGTAGTTGTTCACCAACAGATCTCCAAAGCTAATTTTCTTTTCACAAGCAATATTATCCACAAGCAATTTTTGTAACTCTAGAAAGACTGATACTGTGTCTTGAACAGTGTTGTCATTTTTCTTCCTGTTCACATGAACTAACCTGTCATTTCTTGATAGAGGTTTCAGTGCCCACTATAGTAGGGAACAGCTGTACAGTTTGAAAATAGTTTGCAATAAATCTGCAATTCCTTGTCTGCATCAGTCTGTTAGTGAACATTTACAAAACAGATAGTACAGAAAATCCTTCTGAGAAACAGTCGATGAAACACACTTTACAACTTTTATTTCTTGGAAGCCAAATTTTTGGACTGAATTACACCTTGGCAAGCAGGTTTCATTTTTCCTCCCTCATAGTATATGTTTTGTATCATGCCAAGAGAAACAAAGAATCGCTCTCTGGATCTCACAGAACAGGTTTCCATGACTCGGTATTTGACTTGCCTACTCTTCCTTGAGATTGGTTTTCACTTCTGTTGCCTGTTACAGTAGCAGGTTGTTGTTTCTAGGGGAGAGGGACAATTACAGTTAGAACCACATGGGTTCCTAAACCTGAATTTTTACTTGGATCTGTTGACAATGTGTGATTATGTTTTGGTTTTTTGTTTGTTTGTTTGTTGTTTTTGTTTGTTTGTTTTTGGTTTTTTATGTGTGAATCTAGGAATTTGAGAATCACTGACTCTTAAGCAATGTTATCCATCACAATCTTTCTTCCCTATTCAAGTGGCATTTTTATTGCAGTTATTATTTATGATTAAATTTTGAATTTATCCCTTTGAAACTGGGAAACTGGTTTAGCCAGTAATTCTTTAATGGTGTACCACCTATTTAAATCTGACAAACTAGTACATACTATTAAATACTATTCTTTGGCTTCCTACATGTAGTGATTTGTTTGTTTTGAAATGAAGCGATGAGCCTTCTTGTGAAGTGTACCCCCTTGTATTTTAGCATAGAAACATCTGATACATCATTACAACATTTCCACTGACTACATCCATGTCATTACTTTGTGGCTTATTTGACTGCAGAAAGAAATATGAAACTTATTTTTGTGTTTCCCTGTATCTGGTGCCAAAATCTAAGTAGGGATGGAGAAAACTTTAGGGAGTTAACTTAGTTGTCTGTTTCAGAGGATTACAGTCCCACCACAGGAGAAGGCAATCTCAATAATATAGACCCAAAGCAGCCTTTTAATTCAGTATTTTTCAAGATTTCAGTATTTTCAAGAGTCCCATTTAGGTTTTGAAATAAAATTAATCTGCTGCTGAAAGCAGAACAGACTCTCAGGTTGTGTTCTACCACGTGCACTGGAAATTAGTAATTCATCTGCCGTTTGTAATAACAGAAGTCTTAATTCTAAATCCCCATTAAATCTGTACCCTGCTTATCCCTAAACAGAATATAGGAACTGCAGGTGAGAGGCAATCCTTGGCACAGGCAAGTGAGGTTAATCTGCCTAGTGGGTATCAATCACCACAGGCTGCCCCGCTGACTGAGATGCATAATGCACAATCTGCTGCAGAGGGTGCTCTAGGTGTAAGTCTGGAACAGTGTTACAGTTTTAGGAAAGGTGTTGGGCAAAGCATATAAACAAGGATTGCTTTTTTTGTGTGTGGTTACTCCTGCTTTACTTTCTCTAAATCAGAAATTGAAATATTGCTTCCACATGTCACTAATTGATTAATCTTGAAGACTTAATTAAAGTGTCAGGTTGACAATTAGGTGTCTTGAACATAATGACATCACTTTAAGTATGTTTGGACAGCTATCAACAAAAAAAAAGAAAGGCTTCCCCTTCTCTGAAGCCATTAAAACAGTTATACATAGAGTTAAAATTAATTGATGGTTCTTGTAGCTTAATAATGATAAAATATGCACACTGTTCATACCTTCCCTGTTTTGGGATGGCAGTCAAAATTCTGCTGCTCCTTAAAATCTTCTAAAATATATATTATTTTTTGATAGAAATTTGGTAGTGGACATCAATTTTACCTCCACAGTAGTGCATCATATATGTAAACATTCAGTTACTGATAAAGTATTTTGACAAGATGTGCTAGGACTGAGGGGCAATCAAAACTTTTAGGGATAATTTTTAAAAAATACTGTTGTGATGCTACAGTGTTTTTTATCTTGTCTGCGATATTTTCTTTTTGACTGGAAAAAAGACTGAGCTTGAAAAGAAGAAATATCTTTTGGGAAGAAACTTAAAAATGCTGGGAAATGAAACACTGGGGGCAAGAATTTTCCCGTCAAAAAAAAAACAAGAAAAGAACTCAAAAAAACCTAGGAAAAAGTGCATTGTCATTTATTCGTGGAAAATCTTATGTATGGATAACAAATAAGATTTATTCAGGAATCAAGATGATAATAAAATGTTGTATAAATATTTTGGCATACTACATCAGCTTTTCTTAAATGTCTGAAAGAGCAATAAAACTTTTCTGGTTTTTATCTTTAGTTTAAATAGCAGTGACAGGCAAGACAGTTTTATTAATAAAATTGCTTAATTTGAATTCTTTTAAGATGAATGTTATTGATATATTTTGGTACAATTGGGAAACTGAAGCTATTCAGAACTATTTTTTTCATGTTTTTTTTCTAAGGGATAAATGAATAGTGCAGTTTTACTATAGCTGAGATTGAAAAATTATTATTTCAAGTCAGTGATTTTTATGTGTGTGTTCACACCTTTAAATTTAGAAACAGAAATCGGATTAGATCATTATGTATGTCTTGTGCAGATGGCATGTGAGATTAAGGTGTTTGTTTTTTTGTTTTTTTTTGTTTTTTTTTTTTAATATTTTCCATGATATTAATCATCAAGTTATTTGTTAAAACATGTAATGGGTGAAGTGGACCTTTAAATGAATTTTCAGTGTCAGCCTGTTTTAAATACCAAACACTGTGGCTTGGGGTAAGTAGAAAGCAAATCTTAGTTGCAGCAAAATCCCTAAATACTGCCTGATAGGTTCAATATTAAACCTGGAAGGAAAATACTGGTGCAGAAGCTTAAGCAATAAACTCTGGGGTCAGTATTGTTTTTATATTCTGACTTTTTTTTTTTTTCCCAAGTATTTTACTAAAGCTCCCCAAATGAAAATATTTGTAAATAAGCAGCAAAAAGAAATGTTTTTTCTAACTTGATGAAAAAGCTTGTTTCTGTCAGAATTTAGAAGGCCAAATGACTTGAACCGTATCCATCATGA